AGCCGAAGGCAGTCGCTTAACCAACTGAGCCACCCAGGCGCCCGAGTTAATGACTCTTATTCACCCCGTACAGTGTGGGAGCCCGGGTCACTGAGTGTGAAGGTCGGTGTGAGCTGGCCTGGTCCATCCTGACAGCCCCACGGCCCCACAGAGCTCAGGAGGACATGCCCAGTGACCATGTCCCTTTAGGGTGTGGCATGTGCAGAGGGTGTTAACTGGCCTGTTTTGTTCTGCATTGAGGAAGTATTTTAGAGGCAGGTGGCATAAGGCGAGTCGGTGGAACAGAATAGGTCAGAGTTGCTGGATGTGGGGGAGGGGAGGGGAGGGCTCCCAGGGCTCTGCCTTCCTCAGGGCCTGGGGCCGCAGGGTCTGTCCCATCAGCAGCCACTGGGCCTCCTGTGGGGGCTTTAGGGGCAGTGGAAGGAATTGCAGGCCCGGGAGGATTGGTGCCCGTCTGCCCCTGCGCGAGCCCAGAGCCCGGGGAGAGTGAAAACACCCAGCAGAGAGCCTGCTGTGTCGGAGATGACTGTCCCCGGGGAGAGAGAGGAAGTGACCTGGGGACGGAGGCAGGAGAGCCCCAGGCTGGTGGCTCAGAGTCAGAAGAGGGCAAGCTGGGCGCCTGGGTGGCTCAGATGGTTAGGCATCTGCCTTCGGCTCAGGTCATGATCTCAGGGTCCTGGGATCGAGCCCCGTGTCAGGCTCCCTGCTGAGCAGGGAGCCTGCTTCTCCCTCTCCTGCTGCTGCTCCCGCTGCTTGTGCTCTTTCGCGCTCTCTGTCAAATAAATAAAAAAACTCTTAAAAAAAAAAAGAACTTAACTGCATCATAGCAATAACAATTTAAAAAAAAAAAGAAGAGGGCAAGCTATAGGGCCAAGCCTGGGAGGGCCACCAGGGTGAGCAGTCAGTCCACCGGTGGGGGGAGGAGAGGGCACAGAGGAGGGCCATGCCCAGAGGGGCAGGATCCCAGAAGGTGGGGCTGGTTTTGCTCCGTGGAAGTAGAGATGGAAGCAGGTGAGGAAGAGGAGGGTGGCCAAGCAGGAGCAGGTAACCGGCCCTCCTGCCCAGGGAGGGCCCTGAGCTGGAGAAGTCGGGGGTCTGACTAGAGGGGTCTGCTGGGTGCAGGGCCTTGGGGCTGAGCGGGTTTCAATTATGTTGGAGGGCAGGTGTCTAGGCTACGTGTAGGAGAAAAGCAGGACTTGCTTGAGGTGACGGGGGTGCCCCGTGAGGCCCTGGTGGCAGGCCCTGGGCTCAGGCGTTGAATAGGCACCCCGTTAATTAGCAGGATGGCGGAGCAGGCCTGAGACTGTTAGCCATGAGGGAGAGGCCAAGGGCCATGGCCCCCATCAACCTCCTAACGCATCCATCTTAAAACACCTTTAAAACATAATATTTTAAAGTCATGTATTTTCTACTCATCTTGATGGATTTGTTTTTAGTTCCTTTCGTTCTTTTCGCGTATTTCTTCCCCGTGCAGCACGGTGTTCACACGTGTGATCACATGTTGTCTACTCTGGGTCTGTCAGGAGCACCCCCACAGATGGTCCTTGCAGCTCCCGGGCTGCTTCCCATCCCTGCGGCGCACGGGGCCCCAAGCATAGTGGCGCACGGTGTTTTCTCGGGTTGTAAATGGTGTCCTCCATGAGACTGTTGGGAAGTCAGATCACCAAGTTCAAGGGTGCAGTGATTTACATCCTGTCTTCCCCCTTGTTGTGAGCGGTTCTGTGTCCCATCTCAGGTCCCCGAGCAAGGCACACCTTATGCTATAATTATTCTTCTGCATTTTCATCTCGGCTGCTACGCTGCAAACTTGAAAACCCCAGAGCAGGTGGAACTAGAGTGTTTTTGGGTACCTGGGCCTTGCACCCACCTTCTGTTCACTGCAGCATCTTCTGGAGTCTTTAGGAGCCCTGACTGCTGCAGGGCCTGAGTGCCTGGAGGGTGTATGGGGGGTGGGGTGGGGGGGAAGCCCTGGATGGGGAGGGAGGGCGCGGCCAGGAAGCGAGGCCTATGGCCTGAGGCCAGGCATTGTCTGTGTTCCCCAGGCCGGAAGCTGCTTCCTGGCCCCAGTGACCTTTGCAGGCCTGCAGGAATCCATGGCACCACCTCCCCAGGAGCAAAGAGAACGGTGCCCCTTCTCCCTGCTGTGAAAAAGGAAAACCCAAGTGGTTAGCAGGAAATCCCCAAATGGCAGGGGAACTCATTTCTCATGTCTTGGCTGGTTGTTTTTCAAAGGCAGTTCCAGAGGCCTCTCCCCTGAGTCACCCTCTCATTTTATAAAAAAATCAGATTCATCCCTGTAAATTCCTGAGACCATCTATAGACACACCGTGGATGCCCAGCCCCCAAAGGGAAGTGACCCATTTGCCTGGCTGTTGGGAGGCCCTTGTCCTCAGGGAAAAGCCAGGTGTGTCTGCCCAGTGGAGAATCACTGGCTACCCTGGGTGTGGGCCCCCAGCCCTTGAGGACAGACACATTGTCTGGCCTATGAAGGGTTCCCACTGGTGGGGAGGCAGATTCTGGGGTCCGGATGCATTGAGAGGTACAGGGGCAGCAGAGGAATGGACCCCTTATGCGCAGGGGAGCCAGGGAGGGCTTTCCGTGGATGTGGTGTGGAAAGGACTGCAGGCCAAGCAGCTTAAACACAAAAATGTGTTGTCTCAGAGTTTTGGAGGCTGGAAGTCCAAGATCAGGGTGTCAGTAGGGCTGGTTCCTTCTGGTGATTTCTGGCTCATCACCCCAGCTTCTGCCTTCATCTTCACATACAGTTCCCCCTGTGTGCATCTGTGTCTGAATGTCCCCCTTTAAAAAAAAAAAAAAAAGACTTTATTTATTTATTTATTTGTCAGAGAGAGAGTGTGCCCAAGTAGGGGAGGGGCAGAGGGAGAAGCAGACTCCCCGCTGAGCAGGGAGCCCGATGCGGGGCTTGATCCCAGGACCCCACAATCATGACCTGAGCCGAAGGCAGGCGCTTAGCCAACTGAGCCACCCAGGCATCCTCTGAATGTCCCCTTTTTATAAGGACACCAGTGTTCCTGGATTAGGGACCCACCCTCCTCCTATACGACCTCACTGCAATTAATTGCATCTGTTTCTAAATCAGGTCACATTCTGAGGCACTGGCCACTAGAACTTCAACATACGAATTTTTTTTTTTTTTAAAGATTTTATTTATTTATTTGAGAGAGAGAATGAGAGAGAGAGAGCACATGAGAGAGGGAAGGGTCAGAGGGAGAAGCAGACATCCTGCCGAGCAGGGAGCCCGATGCGGGACTCGATCCCAGGACTCCAGGATCATGACCTGAGCCGAAGGCAGTCGCTTAACCAACTGAGCCACCCAGGCGCCCCAACAACATACGAATTTTGAGGGACACAATTGAACCCATAAGACTCCTGACGCTCTAGAGGGCCCCAGCTGGTATTGGTGGCCAGGAGCTGTCATCAGACTAGACGTTGGGCAGTGTGTGCGGCCCGGCCACAGGGGCCAGCAGACACCTCTTCTCCCCGCCACCAGCCCCCACCCATATTCGGTGTAGCTCAGGACCTGTCCCATCCAGCTGCCCGAGGCCCCAGAGGCCGATCTGCTTGCCGCCACACGCTGTGGCACGAGCAGTCATCGCTTCCTCTGGGAGGGCCTTCCTGAGCAGAAAGGGGGTCTCCATCTGGAGCATTTGGGGAGGCACTGGGGTATTAGCTTCTGCCGAGGTGCCAGCTCCACTTCACTCCTTGTTCCTGTCCCCAGGAGCGCCCCGCCACCACTTGCTTCATCTCTGGCCCATGAGGCAGTTTCCCGGCTGCTACAGACGGACCTTTCTGAGTTCAGGAAGTTGCCCGGGCAGGAGGAGGAGGAAGAGGAAGATGACGACAAGGAACAGAAGGCCCCTGTGACCCGTGAGTTCTCCTCCCTCTCTGGCCCAGAGGCTTAGCAGGCGACAGACTCACCCGCCAGATGAGGCACGGGGTGGGGGTGAGGGGGTGGTGCCTTTCCCGGTTTGCTGGTGGAAGGGCGGTCGTGGGCAGCACGTGGCTGAGGGCCACGGAAGGGCAGCAGCCATGCATGCTCCTGATGGTGCGGTGGGGTCAGGATGCAGAGAGAGCGCCCGCTCCAGCATCAGGTCGGCAGGGGGAGCGCGGCCGCCGTCTCCCTGAGCTTCCAAACTACCCAGGAGATGAATAATGCTTTTCCCATTCTACATGGGAGGAAGCTGAGGTGGCACCTCGGTCGCCCACTTGCTCTTCTGCCTCAGCTGACACTGCCTTAGGGTGGCGTGGGAGTCAGGAGGGTGACGTGTGCGCAGCTCCTGGGGGCGGCTTCAGGGTCCAGCTGGTAGAAAATGCCAGCACTAGGGCCTGTTGCCTGGGCTGATCCAACTCGGGACCCCGTCAGATGGAGGCTCCACGGCATCTGAGAGCTAGCTTGGGGAGGCCGAAGGGGCCTGTGGGTCGGCCTCCTTCTGAGATACTGGTTAGCAGGGCACGCCCCGAGCCACCCGGCACAGCCCGGGGAACCCAGAAATGGGCAGTGAACCTCTTAAAAAGTCAGGGCTCTTACTTTGCTTATCTTTCTTTCACTTTCCTAATACAGTAGGCCCCCCTCATCCGAGGGGGATACGTTTTAAGACCCCCCCCAGGGGATGCCTGAAACCGCAGATGGTACCAAACCCTATATATGCTGCATTTTTTCCTATACACACGTACCTATGATAAACTTTAATTTATAAACTAAGCACAGTAAGAGATTAGCGATGACTGATACTAAAATAGAACAGTTACAACGATATACTGTAATAAAAGTTATATGAAGGTGGTCCTTCTCTCTCTCTCTCTCAGTATCCTAGTGTACTGTATTCACCCTTTTTCTGGTGATGGTGTGTGATGGTAAAATGCCTGCGTGATAAGATGAAGTGAGGTGAGTGAGTAGGCATTACAGTGTAGCTTTGGGCTACTGTGGACCTTCTGACAAAACAAACGGGATGACCCCGTTTCCAGACCGCAGTTGACCGCCTGTACCCGAAACCACGGAAAGCGAAATCGTGGATCCGGGGGGACTACTGTATAATTTGTTGATTTGGTCTCTTTATATTTTGCATATGATTACTTCCATCTTGTCCCATATTTGTTATCTATGTTCCTTTAAGCTTAGCCCGAGAGCGAGCGGTGAGGGCAAAGCAAGGAAGGGGGGGCGGGGCGGAGAAAGAAGACAAACCCACGCGGCCCTTCGCTTCAGCACATGCTGAGTTCTTGTCCGTGTCCCCGGCCTTTTCCGTGGCTCCCTGCCCACATTCCATCCCAGCACAGCCTCGCATTCCTGCCTGGGAGGTGCGGGAGACAGTGGCCCATAGTGACAGGCAGCCATTGTCCGTAGAGCTCCACAAAGGGAGCGCGCCGCCCCAGAGTCCCGGCGGGAAACCAGCGCCACCTGCTGGCGGGAAGGCCCTGGGCGGTGGCTGACACCCGCAGAGCCCTGCCCCTGGGGGCTCCTGCACGCCAGGGAACGGGGGAGGAAATCACAGCCTGCCCCCGCCCTCCGTGCAGGCCTGGGCTGGCAGCCTTGATCAGCTGTCCCTGTCACTGGAGCAGAACATAGTAAAGTCTATCATCTCGAAGCCCTTCTTGCAAAATTGGCTTCCCGGCAGGTGATACAAGCACCACTGCTCAAGGACAGAGATATAACTAAGACCTCTCTGTGGCTGGATCATGTGGAAACACCAGCCGGCCCCTCTCCAGTGGGCTGGTCCTGTGGGCGCCAGGATGAGGCCCTCAGCCTGGAAAGCAGGCGTCTCCTGCCGGCGGCATCAGGAGTCAGTGAGCGGACAATTCTCCCGTTGGCTTATCCATTGCTTATCATTGTCAGTGGTAAATGCCTTTGCTCAAGCCGAAATTCAAGTTCAAACGTGTTGACGGAAATGGTAGCACAACCTAAGGCAAGAGAGTACTCAGCGCCCTGTGCCTCCCTGGGTGTCTCAGGCCTAATAAAAGCAGAGCCCAGGGCTCCTGGGTAGTTCAGTTGGTTAAGCATTTGCCTTCAGCTCAGGTTGTGATCCTGGGGTCCTGGGATCGAGCCCCGAATCAGGCTCCTTGCTCTGCGGGGAGCCTGCTTCTCCCTCTGCCTGTCGTCCCCCCTGCTTGTGCTCTCTCTCTGTCTGACAAATAAATAAATAAAATCTAAAAAAAAAAAAAAAAAGCAGAGCCCAGAGGGAGAGGGAGGGAGCTCAGCGGCCCAGATGGTCTTCTGAGCACAGCTGTCTACAGCGGAGGGGAGGCTAGGGAGGCAGCGCTGTGCGGTCCAGCGGAACGAGGGGTCTCTGACTTGTTGGCAGGGAATGCACTGGGCCAAGCTCATGTGGACCTGTCTTTCCGGAGCTGAGCCTTCCTGTACCCACAGCCCCTCAGGCCAGCCCGGCTGGTCTCCCACTTCTTGCCAAACACCTGAATGGCACCTGTGTCCTGGGTGTGCTGGCGGTGGCCAATTCTAGACACACACACACACACACCCCGCCTTCACGTGTGGATTCCCTCAACATGTCTTCCATGGCCTCTCGTGCTCACAGACCCTCTCTGCCTTCCCTGGCCTCTGCCCTTCTCTTTTTCTTCTGCGGGCTTCACCTTTGGGCAGGAGCTCTTCCTTCTCTAACACCTCCCCCCACCCCAAGTCCTTCAAGTGTGGCCTGCGACTCTCCTCAGAGTCTGCCCTTGAACACCCCTCCGAGGAGACGGGCCCTGACTCACCTGTGCCAGCTTCATGCACCCTGGCCAGCAAGAGTCCCAGGAGGGTTTTGTGTGTGGAAATGACCTGAGCCTCTGAGGCACACCACCCGAGGATTCCTTGGGACCTGTCCGTTGTTAGTTCCTTGTTAAGCTTTTCTTTAGAAGGCAGTGTGGGTAGGATTTGGGGTGTGTGTGTGTGTTGTAGGGGCTGTTACCTGTTGTCGCATAAGAAATTCCTCCTGAAATTTAGTGGCTTAAAACAAACATTTATTATCCCATAGTTTCTGTGGGTCTGGAATTTGGGAGCTGCTGAGCTGGTGGTTCTGGCCCAGGGTCTCTCATGGGATCGTGGTCCCGAGCCTGTGGCCAGTGGGGCGGAGTTTCCATTTCCAAGGGGTTCGGTCACTTGGCTGTTAGCAGGCGGCCTCAGTCCCTCCCCGTGTGGACCCTCCACGGGGCTGCTTAGGTGTCCTCACACCGTGGCAGCTGCTTCCCTCGGGGCCAGTGACTCACCAGGAGATGGAGAGAGACAGACAGAGACAGACAGGGAGGGAGAGAGAGTGTGCCAGGTGGGAGCCACAGTGCCTCTTAGGAAGCAGCTCATGGTCACTTCCAGATGATTCTGTTTATTAGGAGCGGGTCCCTAAGTCCCATGCTCAAGGGGAGGGAACTGGGCTCCCAATCAGGCATCAAAGAATAATGGACATATTTTGAAACCATCACCTGGGGCTAACACTTGTCATGGAAAATTGAGAAAATACCAAAAAAGTATTCTTAAGAAAAAACATCACCTGTAGAGCCACGCCTGCAGACACCCACTGCTGACATTTTGATTGTATGGTTTTCCTGCCTTCAATTTTCTGGTCCAAGCAGTTGAAGGCCTTTTCAGGTCCTCATGATCAAACTGTGTGTGGGATTTTCTGTTCTCCTTTTTCTGTGACATTTTTTCCTTAATGTTTTTCTCCTTAATATTATGACATAGCATTTTACATGCTCACGCACTCTTTAGAAGTCCATTTTTGTTTTACCCTTTAATTTTTTTCCATTAAACTTTGAGGTAACTGTAGGCTCTCATGCTGTTGCAAGAAATAACACAGAGGGATTCTATGTATCCTTTACCCAGTTCCCCCAACGGTAATGTCTTAAAAAACTATAGTAAACTATCCCGACCAGGATCTTGACATAGTCAAAATACAGAACAGTTTCATCCTACAACGATCCCTCATGTTATCCTTTGTGGTCACCCTAATGCCCCATGCTCCTGTCCCCAACCCTGACAACCGTTAATCTTCTCTATTTCTATAATTCTGTCATTTCAAGAATGCCTAGAAATGGAATCATAGAGCACGTAACTTTTGGGGATAGGCTTTTTCACTCCATATCACTCTGGAGAGATTCATCTGAGTTTCTGTAACGCGCCAGGAGCTCACTTGCTCCTTCCTTCCCTCCTTTCCTTCCGTGAGTAGTATTCGGTGGCATGATGTACCGAAGTTTACCTGCTCACAGGTTGAAAAACATCTGGACCATTTCCAGTTTTTGCCTATTACAGGTGAAGCTGCTGTGAACCCTGGGGCACGCAGGGTTTTGTGCGCGTGCCATCTTCATTTCTCTGGGATAAATGCCCAGGGGTGCAGTTGCTGGGCAGTGTGGCGGTTGCGTGTTTAGTTGTGAAAATCATGTTTAATAGCAGCTTAATTCTTCATCAAGAAAATAGACCATAATTTACTCTGTCACTGGATACCTATTGCTTCTAATTAACGTGCAATTATAAATGATTGTATACTTTGTCCTGAAATTATCTTTGCATTTCTGGCTGTTTCCTTGGGGTGGGCTGCCATGAGTGGAGTTGCTCACTGTGGGACGGGAGGCTCCTTCCTGTGCATATTGCCCAAGCAGACATCGCTTGGGTGCCCATGACACAGGCTGTCACGCATAGTTTACTGGGCTGGGGGGGCTCGGAATATGCCCCCGGGGCTGATGGGTTGGTGGGGCCTGTGCAGGCTTGTGGGGGGCGCTGTTGGAGAGCTGCAGGGGCCCCGGGGAAGGGAGGCAGGCAGGTCAGGTGGAGCCCAGCTGCTTCCCTAACAGTCCTCTGTCATGCACATCAGTGCTGGATGCCAAGGGCCTGGCGCGGAGTTTCTTTAACCGGCTCTGGGAAGTATGCAGCCAGTGGCAGAAGCAGGTGCCCTTGACCGCCCAGCTTCCTCAGCGGCAATGGCTGGTCTCCATGCATGCCATCCGGAATACCCGCCGCAAGATGGAGGACCGGCACGTGTGCCTTCCCACCTTCAACCAGCTCTTCGGCCTGTCCGTGAGTGCTCCACCTGCAGTGCTCCTCCTCCCAGGCCCCAGTCAGAACAGCCACGGAGGCCTTGTATAGGGGGTGGGTGGGGGCCACCCGGGCTTCCGAGCAGAGCGGCCGGCCAGAGCCGAGGCAGGAGTGATGCCCGTCGTTGTGCTCTGAAGGGGGCAAGGCCAAGCACGTCATGGGGAGGGTCAGAGGACCGATTCATTGACCAAACACTTCTGGGTCACTTTGCTTTCCCAGCTAAGGGACTGAGGAAAGGGAATGCTCTGCCTGAGCCTGTTAGAAGGGGAGGCCCCAGGAGTCATGTTCGCCCCAGACTCACGGTTGCTGAGCCCTGCTTTGTCTCGGGCACCAGGAGCCAGCTGGTACATCTTCCCTCATTTTATACTCCAGCAACTCGTAACAGAAGGTGAACCGAGGCTCTGGAGGCTTGTCCTTTCCTTTTCCAAGTCTTGCTGCTCCTAAGTGCTTGAGTCAGGATGACCTACCTGATGGCCAGGGCCATGCTGATTCTCCCAGACCCACCCCAGTCCGCGCCTGGGCTCCAGCCCCAGATGAGTGCCTCTGGCTAGGTGACAGCGTGGGTCAGGGCGAGGTCGGTGTGACTCCCGCTGCACTCCCCACCAGGACCCCGTGGACCGAGCCTACTTCGCCGTGTTTGATGGTCACGGAGGGGTGGATGCCGCACGGTACGCCGCCGTGCACGTGCACAGCAACGTTGCCCGCCGGCCTGAGCTGCCCACGGACCCCGCCGGAGCCCTCAGAGAAGGCTTCCGGCGCACCGATGAGATGTTTCTCTGGAAAGCCAAGCGAGAGGTGAGAACCGGTGAATGGGCCTTGCATGCAGTGTGTGGGCCAACAGCCGTTCACATCAGAGAGGCTGGCCCCGGCCGAGGGAGAAGAATCAGAGCGCTTGGTGGTGTCAGAAGGTCCCCACTGAACTCTGCTGGCCATCATGTGACTTCATTCTTAGTACAGGGAGGCTGGTTTTTCATTTGCATAAAGGCAACATGAAGCTTCCCTGGCCCCGCAGCAGCATAGACCTGCCCCACTCTGGTGGGGGTGCAGGCTTCCCAGGGAAGGCAGCTGTTGTAAAATGTGCCCAGGATTCTATTTTGCTCAGGTATGGCAAGATGACAGGCACAGAGGCCACCTTGAAAGAGGATTTTGATTACTTCCAGTGCCCAAGAGGAGGCCCCAGGGTTGGTCCGGAGGCAGAGGAAGGGAGCACCGCATGGCGGAGCCTTCAGGTGGCCTCACACCGAGGCCTGGGCGAGGCAGGGTGAGGCGGGGCAGGCACATCAGGGCAAGTGGAGGATTGGATGGTTTCAATGACCTGGTTGGGCTCTGGGCTACCCGGGCTGCCCCCAGCCATCCAGGCCAGGGGGAAGAGCCTGGCGGGGGACACAGGATGCGGCTGAGGACTTGGATTCAGACCAGCTGGCTCGTGCAAGAAGTTCGTGCGCCCGGGGGAGACATTTGCTATTTTTAGGGACCAGCCGTGCTGGAAGGGGCATTCTCTCCACGATTAGCAAGGACCCCAGTTTGTCAGAGCATCCGAAAATAGGGGTGCCCGACTGGCTCTGACGGAAGCGCATGGGACTCTTGATCTCGGGGTTGTGAGTTTGAGCCCCATGTTGTGTGTAGAGATTACTTAAAAATTTTAAAAGTCTTACCAAAAAATTTTTTTAAGAAAAGATCAAAAAACCCATGATTAATACACGGCCCCCTCTCCCCTTGCTCAGCCGGGCAGGGTCTTGGCAGGCTGCTGGTGCCTGCTGGGCGTATTCTGTCCTCGGGAATAGTAGCCATGTAGGGATCGGGCACTTGTTTCTGAAAGAACGCATCCAACCCCTCCTCTGTGAACTTCCCACCCACTGAACCTTACCTGTAGAACTTCCATGGGGCCCTCCCAGCAGCCCTGCCAGGTAGCTATTAAAATTGTGTCCATTTTAGACATCGGGAAACTGAGGCCCAGAGGGCTTAACGGACCTGCCCCAGTTGACATGGCTCATCGGGAGATTTGGAAGGGGGTACAGTGTCATCAGACGCTCTGAGCACAGACCCCAGCGGAAATCAGCAAAGCCAGACCTTGCATCTTAACGGAAAACCATATAGCATCTAGAACTGTCACGTGGGAGCCTGGTGAAAAACTGACATGCCTCAGCCCCCAGGCCACCTCCCAGAGTAACGGTTCCCTGAAGCAGGTGTTCAAATTAGGTTCTTATTAGTTTAAGGTAGCTTTATTGACATATAATTGACCCATGACAGATCGCCTGTATTGCAAGCGTACAATGTACAGTTGGTTCAATAACACATAAAGGGTGCAGTTGGATAGGTTTTGACATTTGTCTACAGCTGTGTAACCCTCACCACAGTGATGGACATAGCTGCCATCCTTCGTTACCCCACCCTCCTGCCCACGTGCTCCCCAGACACGCACTCGGCTGCTTTCCGACGTTGCAGATGATAGAGCTCGTGCTTTCTAGAGTTGTGTGCAAATGGGACCCCACGGGCTGTGCTCTCCCGTCATGCATCAGAACCCTCAGGAGACTCCTGGTGCGCTTGTGTGTGCTTCAGCAGTCCGTTTTCCTTTTACCTGGCTGAGCACTTTTCCGGGAGTCGGTCAGCCTGGACGGGCGTCCCTCTTTCCCTGCAGCGGCTGCAGAGCGGCACCACGGGGGTGTGCGCACTCATTGCAGGAAAGACCCTGCACGTCGCCTGGCTTGGGGACTCCCAGGTCATCCTGGTGCAGCAGGGACAGGTGGTGAAGCTGATGGAACCTCACAGACCTGAGCGACAGGTAAGGGCCCCCTCCCTCTGTGCCTGGGACATCACCAGCCCCCGTCATGCTGCACCGTGCAGGATAGCGGATGGTCAGGTGGGCAACGAAGTAAGAGGAGCCCTGGACCACCTTCCCAGGGAGCTCCTGGTGTTCCTCCAGAGGGAGGGCCCTTGTGACTCGAGTGGCCGGGGTTGGGGGTGAGGGGGTCCCCTAAAGCTTGGGGCGTTAGCCATTACGGACTGAGGCCGAGCACCTTCTCAACCACTGAAGATCATTTACATTGCCTTTCTGATGAGCCCTTCCTTCTTGTCCCTGGCTCATTGGTCTCCTGCTATCGTCCTTATCAATTTGTAGGTCAGCTCCTTGTCTGCAGGGCGATTTGCAAATAGCCTGCCGCTTTGTCTATATTTATGGGCTTTTGCCTTGTAGACACTTTGGTTTTTATGTAACTGAATGGAGCTGTCCTTTCTTGGTTTCTAGATTTGGAAAGCACTGCAGGGAGTGTCAGGCAGTGATCACCACAACAGCGGGGAGGGACAGCATTCCTTGGCCTCACCTCCTACATGAGCTCTCCCGGTAGTACAGAGGAGAGGACTGAGGCTCAGAGAGGTCAAGTAACTTGCCCAGAGCACACAGCTGAGAAATGGCAGCTGTCCCGGATCCCTCCACCGTCACTGCAGCACCGGGCCATTTGGCATCTGCTCCCTGGTGGACCGTCCTGCCCCAGGACGGGCAGTCGGGTGAAATGCGGTCTAAGTCAGGACTAGATGCGAGCCTCTAGGTTCCTTCCCGCCCGTGTCCCCGCAAGCTTGCTGTCCCGTGCCACCTCTGCGGCCCAGCAGGGACTTTCCGGGCAGCCTTTCCCGGAGCCCTGCCATGTGGCACCGTGGCAAAGAGCGCAGCCAGCCTGCATATCTACCTGCCTCTCCCCAGACCCTTCTGAGTCTCTCTCTCCCCTCCACCTGCGAATTCCTTCCTCCTCCTTCCCTGCCCACATTAATGATCCTTTTTGTCTTTCTGGCACTGCTCAATACCACGATGGCCTCTCAGGCCCAGAGGGAGCCGTGCGGACAGGTCAGGGCTCCTGCAAACCATCCAAATCCCACTGCCACTGCCTCTGCAGGGAACCGTGTGGGTGGCCCAGCCTTTGGTACGGGTGTGCCGCCTCCCTCCCGCCCTGCAGCGGGTCTGTATGTGCACAGAGACCGTCTCCGGGTGGAAGGGCCCACATCCGTGGTCCCAGAGAGAGGGGACTGGCCTATCTAGCTGACACTGTCCTGTGGGGGCATGAGAAGCTCCCAGCTGAGAAAGCTGGTACCCTGGGGCCCAACATGGCGGTGCCGCTTTCACTTCTTGGGAGGGGGAGCAGGGGGCCTTTGAGAAAGGACAAGGCCTTGTTGAGGTTTCATCCAGGCCTGCCAGGTGGCCACACACAGCACAGCCTTGCTCTCGCCCCAGCGGCTTGCAAGGAGGGGCCAGTATCCCCGAGTAAAAGGTGAGGCAGCGGGGGGTCGGTGGCCACAGCTGGTCTGGCTGGGTCTGCAGTGCAGCTGAGGTGGCCCTGCCTGCATTCAGAGGAGGACGTGCAGGTTCTTCATGGTAATGCCTCCTCTGGGTGTCGTTCCCGGGCTGTGGTCACAGCTCAGTGTCGGAAACCAATGCGTCTGCGCTCGCGCAGCCTTGCCAGGCACCCTGCCCCGGCCCCCACTCTGGCTGTCGCCCACAGGACGAGAAGGAGCGCATCGAGGCGCTGGGCGGCTTCGTGTCTCACATGGACTGCTGGAGAGTCAACGGGACCCTGGCTGTGTCCAGAGCCATCGGTAAGGAGGCAAGGGGCGGGGGACCAAGGCCTCTTGTCTGCGGCCCGAGGGTCACCCAGCTGTTGGGGACAGCAGTGTCCAGTGCTGATAAAGCACTTGTGGTCTGTGGGGCCGTGTAATCAGTCTGTGAAGGACCTCTGGTGGATTTAGGTAGCCCACGTGCAAACACCTCGGAGACTTCCATCTCTCACGAATAATCCCAGTTTAAGTTGTATGCGATTATCTCCTCGTTAAAACAGTTCCCCAGAAAAAGAACCTACTAGGAGACCCTTGGATAGCTACTAACTGTGCTGGAAGGTCATTTTCAAATGTTCCATAAATGAAGATTATCGATTATCCTCCCCCCATTCATGCTGATTCTTTTCTCCATCTTAAAAAAAAAAAGACCCCTATTCTTCCACAATCCTATTTTGTCAGCATCCTGCTGCTGCTGGGCCTCAGGCTGGGGCCGGCAGCCACCCCTCTCCCCCCAGGTACTTAGACACCACTCTGTCCCACACTGTGGCACCTTCTCCCTGCTGCTGCCACCACCGTAGGGCCTCTGGACACACTAAGGTGGGGAGGTGGCGGTGACGGGGCTCTCCAAGCGGAGGCTCCTTCCACAGGGGAACCCCCTGGGCAGGTCCGTGTCAGGAAGCGGCGTGGGCTGGTGCACCCTCGGAGGGCAGGAGTGGGAGGCGGGGGACCCGCGGGCCTGGGCAAGGTGTGAGGAGGGGGCGGTGGGTTCCAGTCGCACTTTGAAAGTAAAGCCAGCGGGACTGGCTAGTGGACTGGATGTGGGTCCCACAGAGAGGGTCCTGAGGGGAAGGGAACCTGCAGACCTGAGCACGAGGAAGGAAAAGTGAGGTCCTCCGCCTCAGCTCTCCCCCCCTCTCCGACTCTGGGCCCGGCTCCACTGGCAGTGAAGAGGCTGTTTGTCGAGCTGACCTCTGGCCTGGCTGGGCCCTAACTCGGTCCTCTGGAACACCAGAATAAGTCGGCCACATCACCCTCTCTTATTTTCTTCATAGCCCTTAGCACTGTGTGAAATTACTGAATTTCACCAGTGAGCACGGGTGCCAGAGGGGGGTGGCCGTGGTGAGGCCCGGGCCCGGCAGGTGGCCCTCGGCAATAGGCAGCCCGGCCCTCTGACGTGAGGCCCTTCTCTCCCTCGCACAGGGGACGTGTTCCAGAAGCCCTACGTGTCAGGGGAGGCGGACTCGGCCTCTCGGGAGCTGACAGGCTCTGAGGACTACCTGCTGCTGGCCTGTGATGGCTTCTTCGACGTCGTCCCCCACCAGGAGGTCGCTGGCCTTGTCCAGAGCCACCTGGTCAGGCAGCAGGGCAGCGGGCTGCAGGTGGCCGAGGAGCTGGTGGCTGCAGCCCGGGAGCGGGGCTCCCACGACAACATCACGGTCATGGTGGTCTTCCTCAGGGACCCCCGAGACCTACTGAAGGGCGGGGCCCAGGGGGCAGGGGATGTGCCCTCTGGCCTCTCAGAGCCAGAGACCAACACTCCACAGAGAAGCTAGGAGGTGCAGGCCCCCTGCCCCCACCTCAGGCCCCTCCCCCTCGGATGCCTTAGGACCTGACCGGCGGAGGCGGAGGCGGTGGCGGTGGGCGGGCGGGTGTCCCCCTCACAGTGTTTTCCCAGGGCCCCGAGTCCCCTGTGCTGCTTGCATCAGTCCATCCTGGTGGCTGCGGAACTGCACTGGGGGGGGTGGTATTTATGCCCTGCTCGTGCAGGTAGTGGCCCGGATCTCCAAAGGAGGCCTAGGGAGGAGACCTCACCAAAGAGATGACCTGGGAAGTGGATTAGCTCTTCTCCAGGCCCCGCTGGGTAGGGGGCAGGACCAGAGGCCACAGGCGCGGGCCGCAGTCAGACCAAAGACGCTGGGCACACGCCTGGGGCAACAGGGCACTGCATGTGAGACCCCGGACAGACCCAGGGGCCATGGACATCTCCAGGTGTGTCCTGGGTGTCGGGCCCAGGTTTCTCATTGGCTCCTCACTGGCCACAGCTGGGAGGACTCATCTGTATAGATGCCCCTGGCTGGTCCTGGCCTGCCAAGCCGGCTTCCCAGAGTGGGGAGAACAGCCCCGTTGGGAAGGAGGGAGCACCAGGGATCTGGTCTGTGGTGGGTGCTCGGCGGCCCCCAGCCTCCCTGGCCCCCTCCCAGCGCGCGCACACCCAGGGAGGGGAAGGTCAGAATGATGACACGTGTGTCTTTTGTTTGTGGTCTTTTCTTCTCCCCAGGGAAGTCTAACTCAGAAGCAGTATTTCAGGTTTTTGTCTTTGTCTTGTCAGTGCCAAGTTGACCTGTTGTGTCATATAACTTAAGCAAAGCTTAGCTTTTATTTTATTCTTAGAAAACTTAAGTATTGATTTTTTTTTAGAAGAAACTTCTTTTGCAGTATTACTGAATTTTTTTTTCCCCTAAATCAGGATTGAAACAAAAACTTTTCCAGGTGGTGTTAATAAGCCATTCAAGTGCCTTAAACAGCTTTAGGTAGGGCTAGAACCGCCGGGCCTGGACGGATTCTAACAGGCATGTTTCCGTTTTTACAGAAGCAGGATTTATTTTGTTATAGTGGCATGATTTTGGCTAGAATTCTTCCCAGACGAGTTCTTTCCACCTCTTGTGATTCCATTCGCTGCTGACAGCAGAGCAGCCCCGAAGAACATAGGCTGTGCTGTGTGGCCTGGGCCGGACGGCAGGGCTCCTGGAGATCAGGGTGACCGCAGTGCCGCCAGCCTCCCTCCACGCCTGGGCCCTGCTGCTCATGTCTCTGGCTGGTGCCCAGGCTGAGGGACTGAGCTCCATGAAGTGGGCTCCTCATTTGACTGGAATGTCCTAGAATGTCTTGTGTTAGTAATCAAATTGGTTTCATTGGAAAACAGGCCTAGAGGCCCCAGCAAGTCCGGGGGCAGCCTGAGGGCGTTGGGCTCTGTTTGGAGCCTATCCCGCCCACCTGCCCCACAGCCCCCAAAAGCCCTCCTCCTGTCTCCCGCCTGCGACGGCTGCACCCTCTGCCATCTTGCTCTGCCCACAGCCTGACCACATGGGGGAGAGCTCTACATTCCCTAGCATGCTCTGGGCAGGTGAGGCTCGGGAGCCACGAAACTTGGGTGACTCGGGCTGCTCACATCCAGTGAGGCGAATATGGCATGGGTGTCCAGTTGGAAGTGGCAGGGCTGGGTGAAGAGTCCAGGCAGAGGTCAAGGGCCCAGAGAGAGGGGTCTCCGGTGGGAGGACCCAGGCCTACAGATCTGGGAACGGCAGTGGGTGGCTTAGCTGAGGCTTCTGGAGAATGTCGCTGGGAGGTGGGCAGCAGGAGGAGGCCTGGCACCAGGTCCCCCAGGCTGGGAGGTCCTCTGAGGGTACTCAGACTCCACCCGCAGTGGCTGGGCCCCAGCAAGGAGAGTGCAGGGAGGACCGTGACCCCAGTGCACAGAGGGGAGCCTAGGCACCCCTCCGGACCCTGCAGCAGGAAGGGAGGGAGGCAGCTCAGGGCAGGCAGCGGGGCAGTGGGAGATGCCCCCCGCAGGCTTAGCCTTTACTCCTCACTCCCGCAGCAGGGATGAGGGAGCCCATATGATGCGGCCGATGCCATGCCCCAACGCTCGAGATGGAAGGCATCTTAAACATGGTCACTGCAATTCAGAGGTTTGGTGGGAGCCAACAGTGACCTAGAATTGCCCCACTTAATCTGAAGGTGTCACTGCTTTCTAGGGGTCTGAAGCCCCCTTCTTCGGCCCTTCCCAGCGCAGGGCTAGTCAGAGGCAGCATGTGGGCCTGCCCTTCACCAGCGGCCTGGCTGTTCCCCGGCATGACCTTAGCAGAGGGTGGAAGCGTGGACTTCTGTTGTCCTCCTTTCTTCGCCAGTCTGATTCTGTGATTGCCACCAAGAGTGGGGCTTCACCCGCGGAGCCTGGCTTTCACCGTGTGGTGGTCTGATTCACGCCCTGGCTCGAGGCTCCATCAGGAGATCTCTCCAGGCTTTGCCCAGTGACCACCCCCATCTGGCAGAGGCTTCTGCTGTCTGGTGCTGCTCATCTTTGCCTGGGGGCTGAGGGAGCCCTTCTTCCTCCTGCACAGACACCGGCTCTGTGCAAGCACCTAGGCATAGAGGCCTCTTCCCTCTTGACTGGGTCTGGACTGGGAGCCACTGGGCGTCTTCAGCCTCTGAAAGCCCTGGCCCCCCTCCTCTCCGGGCCACAGTCCTAAGAGGGCCCCAGGTCTGGAAGCCCCAATCCCCTTCTCAAATCCTCGCTTTGCCGCTAGCTTGTTGTATGAGCTGAGCAAGTCATGGAGCCTCCCTGGCCTCAGTTTCTCCTCTCTAGGGCACAGGGTTGCACCGAAGCTGTGATTCTGGAGGTTCGGGGGCTACCCGAGGCAAGCCTGGTGCGTCCCAGGGAGCTGCTGCCCGTGCCGCGGGAGCCCTCCCTGGCTGCTAGCAGGGAGGGGTGATGAAGTATTATTAAGCGTCTATTCTTACAGTTAAGTGGGCTGGGAAAGAATGGAGCTGCAGATGCTAGGGTTGGGCCTTACATGGAACACAAAAGCTCAGAGCAGGCCCTGCTTTTACAGGTGGAGCTGATTGCAAGCCAGCAGGGGTGGGAGAAGCAGACAGGCTCGGCTCCCCTCCCTCTGCAGGTGTGAGGCGGAAGGGCATGGAGAGGGGCAGGGTACAGCTGGGCTCTCCCCGACCTCGCTTGCCCTCAGCACCCAGGACGAGGAGAGGGATGTGCTTTAGGGGGAACAGTGACGGGGGCAGGCCCCACTGGAGACGCATAAGCTCTCCGAGGTCCTGAGCCAGCCTTTGGCCGCAGCCCTCTCTCCCCCTACCCTCCCCAGCCGGCATGCGGCCCTCACCCCTTCCCGTGTCCCCTTGCGGGTGGCCCGGCTACCTCAGCAGTATTCCCGGGGCCTGGGGTACAGCTCCGCCGGTTCCTAGGCCTGACCCTGACAAGGGCTCAATGGAAACCTGCTGGGCCCGTGCAAGATAAGCTGGTTTGGGTTTGATTCTGCCTGTCGCCCAAGGGAGGCAGCCCCAGGAGGCCTGTGCTTTTCGCCGAGGCTCCGCAGCTTTGCCAAATGCGCCGAGCTTTGCCATTCATGCACCATGCCAGCCTTGCCAAGGGTTCATCTGTGCACATCTCATCAGGGCTCCTGGGAGAGGTGTTCTCCGCCAGAGGCGTCTTGTCCCGAGACGGGATGGCCATTTCCCCTGTCTGTAGGGACGAGTGCCAGGATGAGGGGGCCAGAAACTCGGTCTCCTCCCAGGGGTCACTAAGTGTCAATAAATCATGAGTTCTGAAACCCTGTGGCCTGAGTCTTGCCTTCTCTCACCCCTGAGCACCTGGTGCCCCTGAGTGTCCAGGGTGCGTTTAGAAGCCGCCAGGGTGCTGGCGGGGGCGGGGGGCACCTGCCAAAGGCTAAAGCAGCAGACTAATTCGGGAGATTGCCTTGCCTTCTGGCCAGACAGTCAGGCCTGGTTCTCATCTCTGGGCTCCAAGCCCACAACTGCCCCTGCAGCGCGAGGGCGTGGGCCACTGTGAGCCTGTGCAGGGGCTGACAGGAGAGGGGTGAGGCCCCAGGGGGGCACCTCACACCATGGGAGCCCGGGGCAGCCGGGAGTGGCCCAGAGACACTGAGGATGGGGACCCTCCCAGCAAAACACTCAGATGGGAGAAGGCAGGCCAGCAGCTGCCTGGGGCTCTCCTGTGCTCCTGGCTGAACTCAGACTCCAGGGAAACAGGAAAACATCCAGAATGCCCCCATGCAAACACTGCTGAGCGATGGCCCCAAAATGCTGCCCGAACTCCCCAAAATGTAAGGGAGGCACTTGGGTTAGTTGGGGCCAGCTAGCCAGATTGCTGCGTCCCTGCCCCCCTCCCCACCCCCCAGCCCTGCCCTGGATGCCAAGCCTTTGCCCACGTTTGGGCCTTGCCAGACCAGCTTCTGGTCCCTTCTCAAATCACCCTGAGAGCTTTCCGTGCTCCTCCCACTCCAGGCCTCATTGCAAGGGAGGCAGCTTTATCTGTCTCCAACATGTCACCGAGAGGGGGCTGGGGATCCCAACCAGGCCCTAAGCACCACGCCCCCAGCCCCGCCCACTCACCCATCTGTCTTTCCCCCGCCGGGTCCTCTCCGCCTCCTTGGAAGCTCCCTGCAGAATCTGCCCAGCAGAACCTCGTTCTTAAGTATATGCTGTCTTGATTGTTCACAAACGAATTGCCTCATGTGTCTCAATCTCATTGCTATAGCCAGATGGTGGCTCCACACTGCCCCCCCCCACCCCACTGTCACTGAGCTCTGAGCCCCAGAGAGCATCCTCTCTGGGGCCATTGGGGAGGGAGAGTGGGGGAAGGCCTGAGGGACCAGGCACCAGGCAGGCAGGGACCGAGTGGTTTCTGGGGCAGCTGCATGTCACTCACCTGCCAGACCAGCCCATCGTGATGGCAGGTGGGGGTTGGGGTTATCAGCCAGGCTCTCTGCCAGCAGGGAGACAGACCCGCATGCAGAAGCCAAGTCTGGCACAGAGGACTGTCTGCCTTCAGGAAGGGT